AATAGAAAACAATAGGAAGGTAGTATATTTAAACCCAGCCATATCAATAACCAGTATAATTGTTCTAATGCCCCAATTAAAAAGCTGAGATTGACATATTGAATAAAAAACAAGATCCAGTTATATATTGCCTGCGGTAAATTGCACTTAAAATATAATGACACAGATAGTTTAACAGTAAAAGGATGGAAAATTATATACCATTATTATGGCTGACATTAGCCATAATGAAGCTGAATTACTGTATTAATATCAAAGTATATTATACAGTAAAGAATATTACTAGGGGTAAAGAGGTAATTTTGTAATTATAAAGGGTTTAGACAATCCTTCTATGAAGCAGAAACTAATGGAGCTGTTGGGAGAAACAGATAAATCCAGAATTCATCTGTAGTCAGATTTTTAATACTCTTCTCTATAATAAAAGAGCAAGTGGCAAAAAAACCCAGCAAATATATAGTAGACTTGAACATTGGTAAAGAACTTCATAAATCATAAACCCTAAGGGGCATTTACGAACAATCTACAGATAACATCATACTTAATGTTGAAAGACTATATGCTTTTTTCTTAAGGGTAAGAGCAAGACCAGGTTGTCTGCTCCTGCCACTTCTATTCAGTATTTGCAGCCAAATGCAAACAGGCCAGAAAAAGAGGGGTGGAGGTGGGGCTGGGTTGAACAATTAGGAAAAAACACCAAAGAATATAAATGGAAGACAAATATGCACACAAATAGAGATCTCAATACCATTATTTTATTAGGAAAATACAAATCAAAGTGATAAATGAGGTATCATTATACATTTATTTTAATAACCTTTTAAACAAGATTGACCACTTCAATTAGCAGCACAGGCATGGAGCAAATAGAACTTCATACACTGCTGGTAAAAATGTAAAGTGGTTCAACTGCTTTGGGTTATAGTTTCACAGAAAAACATCAACACATTTTGAGCAAAAAGACACATTAAATAAACTAGAAATTGAGTAAAACGTCTTTAACTTAAAAATATTATACCTCGGGACCAGCAGTTATTGTAATGGCTATGTTGCTGGACTCCCACTTAGTCGACCGCAGTTTGTGTCTCGGACCCGGTGGCTTAAACTCACGCCAGGTGTGTGTGCATGCATGCCCAAGATCCCGAGAGGAGAAGGGAGGAGAAGGGATTGTGGCGTGGCCATCCCCTCTGGGGGGTGATTTCTCACTTTCTGTCTCTCTGTCTCTCTCTCTCTTGTCTGTCTGGCGAGCACATGCGGCCTGTAGGAAAAAAAAAAAACTCTCCCCCCAAAAATTATATTGAGATATTTACTCAGTGGTTTAAAATAATTTTATAGAAGATATGATGGAAGAGAAACAAACTCCCTTTTATAATAGCAGACTAACTGGGGAGTACTAACAGATATGCAATACTTATGTAAAGGAAACATAGCTGACCAAAAGCATGATCCTTAAAAAAAAAAAAGTCATAAAATAGACTGTCAAAATTAAGAACTGCTCTCCAAAAGGTACTGGTGAGAGAATGAAAATGTAAGCCACCAACGAGGAAAAAACATTTACAAATCACGTAGCTTATGCAGTACTTAAATTGACCTATAGTGCAATCTCTGTCAACATTCCAGCTTCCTTTTTGTAGCACTTAACAACTTGACCCTGAAATTCAAGACACAGGAGGAAGTCAAAGCAATCCTGAAAAGGGATAACAAGATCAGCCTTGTGGTCTAGTGGTTGGGGGAGCCATATCCTACATGACCAGCACATGCATGTGTGTGTGAGTGTTCCAATGTGGTGAAGAGATGGAGGAGATGGGATTGCAATGTGGCCATGCCCCATAAGTGGTTGCTATCTCCTTCTCTTTTTCTCTGCCTCTCTATATCTCCATCTCTCTCTGGTGGGTGCACTTATCCTATGGCAACTAAAAAGAGAAGAAGAAAAAGAAAGAAAAGGAACAGCAAAGGTGGAGGACTCACATTTCCAGATTTCAAAACTTATCACAAAGCTACAGTATTCAAGGTAATCGTGGTTCTCGCATAAGGACAAGACATGTAAACCAGTGGATTAGAACTGAGTCCAGAAATGAACATCAATTTACAGTCAATTGATTTTTAACAAGGATTCTATAGGATTCTTAATAGCTGGTACATGAACAACTGGATATTCACATGCAAAAGAATCAAGTTGGACTCTGCTTCCACACCATATACAAAAAGTGACTACAAGAGGACCATAGAACTAAATGTAAGAGCTAAAGCTATAAAACTCTTAGAAGAAAACATCAATCTTCATGACCTTGGATTAGGTCTTTTTTTTTTTTTTTTTTTTTTTTGATACTGCACAAACAACATAGGAAAATGTTAGATAAGTTTAACTTCATCAAAAGTAAAAGCTTTTGGGGACCAGCAGGTGGTGTGGCAGTTAAGGCACGGGACACTCCCACATGGCTGACCATGGTTTGAGTCCTGGACCTGGTGACTTGCTTTCTCACTTTCCTTCTCTTTCTCTCTGTGTGTCTCTCTGGTCAAATCAAAATAAAACGAATGAATGAATAAAAGTAAATAAATAATTTAAAAAATAGAAGCTTTTGTATTTCCAAAGATACCATCAAGAAATGAAAAAGTAACCTACACAATGGGAGAAAGTATTTGCAGATCAGATATCCAATAAGGAACTTGTATCCAGAATATATAAAAACTCTTAGTCAACAATGAAAAGACAACATAATTTTTAAACAGGCAATAAATTTGAACAGATCTCCAAATATATACATATGACCAATAAACATGTGAGAGGCACTCAACATTATTAGTGTTTAGAGAAATGCAAATCAAAACTGTAATGAGATGTATATTCTCTTTCTATCCACTAGATACTAAAGTGAAAAAGTAATACTAAGAGCAAGTGTTGGTAAGGATTTGGAGAAATTGGAATCCTTTTACATTGATGATGGAATAATAAAATCTGTAGCCACTTTGAAAAACAGTTTAGCAGTTACTCAGAATGTTAAAACTAGAGTTATCACATGACCCTAGCCATGCCACTCATAAGTATATACAGTTATCCTTCCATATTGCAGATGCCACATCTGCAGATTCAGCCAACTATGGTTTGAAACTATTTGGAGAAAAAATACAAAATAACAATATAAAAATAATACAGATAAAAATGATATGCTATAATATCACTTTACCTAGCATTCACTTTATATTAGGTGTCATAAGTAATGTAGAGATGATTTAAAGTATACAGAAGGATGTGGGTGGGTAGGTTGTATGTAAATACTACTCTACTGGTATCTGCAGGAGGTCCTGGAACCAATCTCCTACAGACACTGAGGGACTGCTGTACCTAGAGTAGAAAATATATCCACACAGAAGTGTACTGTAAATGTTTATTATATTATTATTCATAATAACCAGAAAGAACAACCAAATGTCTATCAGCTTATGAATGCATGAACAAGATATAATATAGCCACAGAGTGGAATATTATTCAGCAATATAAAGGAATGAATGTTGTTGATACACATAGCAACATTGATAAACTTTGAAAACATTATGCTAACTGAGAGAAAGTATTCTGAGAGGTCTTCAGAAATTTCTCCATAATACGTATTATAAAAACACTGTTCAGGGATTTTGAAATTTTTTGCAGTAAAATAAAATCATGCTTAAATTTTATTTTGCATGAACTTTTTGAAGGCCCCACATATCAGTCACATGTAATTCCATTTGTAGGAAATGTGAGGAATAGGCAAATCCATAGATACTGTTAGACTAGTGGAAACTGGGCTGAGGAAGGAATCGGGTTTCTTTGGGGGAGGGATGTTGTAAATGTTATAAAATTAGATAAGGGTACACAAAATTCTGAGTGTATACTAAAAACCATTGAATTTTACATTTTGAGGGATAATTTTCTGGTGAGTTAAACATACCTACCATATGATCCAGCCACTCCACTCTTACATACTTGTGTAAGAGAAAAATAACATTTCCCTATGAAGATTTATAAGTGGATTTCCAGAGCAGCTTTATTTGTAATATTCATACCTGGAAACAAACCAAATATCCTTCAACATGATATACTACTCAGTAATAAAAAGTAGTGAACTATGATATTAGGTCATCAGGAAGGTAATGACATATTTTTTTTGTTGTTTTTTGGGGGTTTTTTTTGTTGTTTTCTCTGCAAACATCCGTCATTGACTTTCCCAACAACCCAATACATTTAACAATATGAATAAATATCAGAATAGTTAGGCTGAGTCAAAGAAATTAAACAAAAAAGAGTACACGCTCTGTGATCCCATCTAAGACTAGAAGATGCAAACCAATCGACAGTGGTAGAAAGCAGATCGGTAGTTGCATGGGCACAGGGTCCAGGAGGGACCAGGAGAGAGGATGACACGGAGCACATACTAACTTGAGGGTGATGCTTTTATAGGTATATATAGAATATAAGATGTCATGGGTGTATACATATGTCAGGACTTATCAAAGTGCAGTTCATTGTATGCCGATTACATGAATTGACTTATAAGTTACTATAAAAAGAAGAAAAAATGCAACCCCTAGTCATTTGTCTGTGTGGTAGATATAGACAAATCACTATACTGAAACGTCTCATGAAGAGACCCTAAGGTCATGGTGGTTTAGGGATGTGATGGTCCCGAAAAGCAAATGTTACACCTAGGATTAGGGAGCTGAAGAAGGAAGGATGAGAAAGCATTTAAGTACCTGAACTACATGACACTCTTGTTCCTTGTTTACTGGTATGCGTCAATATCTGACGTTTCAGTGGCAAGCAATCCTTTTTCCTTTTCATCTTACCTTCTGGTGTTTGTTTTGCATTAAACCTTTCCTGAGTATTAGGGAGTAATTCAGAGCTGCTGTCCCTGGCCCAGCTGTAACCAATTTGAGTCCAAAGCATAAACTCTCAGGTTCTGTCTCTTAAGGTCCTTATAGTAATGCAGTTTACCTAATCCCCATGGCTTATTCTCCTCAGTCCTACACTCCTCCAAGCAACGAGTTCAAGATCAGCATGAAATTGGAAGCTCAGGACCCCAGAAACACCACATCGACCTGTATTGCTACAGTGGTTGGACTGACAGGTGCCCGCCTGCGCCTGCGCCTGGATGGCAGTGATAACAAGAATGACTTCTGGCGACTGGTTGACTCAGCTGAAATCCAGCCTATTGGGAACTGTGAGAAGAACGGGGGTATGCTGCAGCCCCCTCTGGGTGAGTAACTAAACCCAGGCTCTCTGTAGCTAATCAGTTTGCTCTTCGGAGAAGAGCAGAATTGTGTTTCTTCTTCTGAGAAAGCCAAGGGTCTCCTACCTAACCTTTCTGGTCCATATAATCCCCCCCAAAAGGCCTACCTCAAATGAAATGAGCCACAGAAATGTGGACACCTCCATCTCCATGTTAGCTTATGACGTTCAGGCTTCTCTCAGACTCTTCTTTTTGCCACTAAGAGACCACACCATTTACCCTCCTCCTTTGTCAGTGCCCGTTTACCTTGAGACGGAGAATGGAAAGAAGTCTTGTCATTTAATCTACCTCAGAAAACATAAAGCTTTCATCAGATCCTATAATGAGTCAAGGAGTGAGAGAAAAATTTTCCAGTGGAAAAGATGACTGTTATAAAGATCTTTCAGACCTTTTGTCCAAACCCTTGTTTTTTTGAATTTTCTCACTTTGAGTCTATGATCAGGTAAAATTTATTATTTTATTTAAATTAACCCTTTTAGATTTTTTTCCACTGAAGAGATTTTTTTTCTCTTTTTTGGCCTCAATGTATCTGAGGGATCCAGTCTATCTTTCAGTCACTGTCAGTTGTTATTGCAGTGAGTCTCAGTGAGAGATTAAAATGGATTATGGATTTTGAACTATGCTAGAATTGAGAGTTACAGGGCATATGTCCTTCAGAAGAGCTCCCAGGTGGTTAGCATTTTTTCCCCACTTAAAGAAAAAAATCTTGTGGGACCAGCAGATGGCGTAATGGTTATGTCACTTGACTTCCACGTAGTTGACTGTGGTTCGAGTCACAGACCTGGCAGCTTGGAACTCACATTAGACATGTGTGCATGTGTGCTCAAAGTCCCAAGAGGAGAACGGAGAAGAAAGGATTGCGGCATGGCCATCCCATCTTGGGGTGATTTCTCACTTTCTGCCTCTCTATCTCTCTCTTGAGAGATAGCAGGCATTATTTTGTCCTATAGCAAAAATCTGTCTAAAAAAAAAAAATTGCAGGCATATACACAGAAGTAGCAAAAATAACATAATGTCCAAGTATCCTTCCTTTTTGATCATTATAAACGCATAGTCAGCCATGTTTACCCTGTACTTGTATATACTCCCTGCCTTGCTCCTGCCCAGCTGCCCAAACATAATGTCATTTTACTAAGAAATACATGGGATGTATCTTTCATAGGTAAGGATATTTTAAAAACATAACTACAATGCCATTTTCACATATAAATAAACCAATGATAATTCCTTAATATAAACAAATATTTAATCAGTGTTTAAATTTTTCTAATTGTCTATCTTTCTAGCAGTTGCTGCAAATCAGGATTCAAATAAATCCACATATTGCAATTGGTTGATATATTCCTTAAGTCTCTTTTAATTTGTAACTCTCTTTTCCTATCATTTTTTTCTTTACGGTTTGTTGATAAACCTAAACCATGTGTCTTTAACATTTCTCATAATTATATTTCACTGACTGTATCCTAGTAGTATCATTAAACGTATCTCTCTGCCCTCTATTTCCTAGAAATTGGCAACGAAATCTGGAGACTGGTTCAGATTAAAGTGCAGGTTTTTTGTTTTTAGAGATTTTGCCATAGAACATGTGGGCTAGAGAGACAGAGAGAGGTGGAAAGCAAGAAATCACCCCCAGGGCAATGGCCACCCTGCAATCCCTTCTCCTCCATTCTCCTCTCAGGATCTTGGGCACGCACACACACATGCCCAGTGTGAGTTTTAAGCCACCAGATCCAGGACTCGAACCTTAGTCAACTACGTGGGAGTCCAGCATTGTTACCAAATACACCATCCGCTGGTCCCCAGATGCAGTTTTTCGTAAGACTGTTTCATTGGTGCTGGTGTTTACTTCTATCAGGAAGCATCTCTGATCTTGTCTCTAGTTTTGTGCTGCAGTCATTGATGTTTATGGTCTAGATTAGGGATCAACAGATTTTCTTTTTTCTTTCTTTCTTTTTTTTTTTTTTTTTTGTAAGAGGTTTTTGTTATAGGGCCCGTGGGCTGGCCAGACAGACAGAGACAGAGAGACAGAAAGCGAGAAATCCCCCCCCCCCCGGGGGGATGGCCACGCCGCAATCCCTTCTCCTCCATTCTCCTCTCAGGATCTTGGGCACGCACACACACATGCCCAGTGTGAGTTTTAAGCCACCAGGTCTGGGATGCAAACCGCAGTTGACTACATGGGAGTCCAGCAACATAGCCATTACGCTAACTGCTGGTCCCTCGACAGATTTTTCTTAACCAGTCAGATAATAAATATTCTAGGCTTTTAGATTATACGTTCTCTATTACCATTACTCAACTTTTCCTTATAATGCAAAAGCAACCATAGGCAATACATAAATGAATGAACAGGGCTGTGTTTTAATAAAACTTTAATTATAAACCCTAGCCTGATGGTTGGAAGTTTGCTGACCCCTGACTGAGATCCAGCAATTCATGAAAATGGGAAGTTTTAATCCTGCCATTCCATCTATATAAATCAAATAGAATATATCTATTAAAATAAACTTTTATTAGTAATTTAGTTCTCCCGAGATGCATTTCATACAGGAAAACCACTTTAAGTGCTTTGTTATTTCATTTACATACTAGTTTTCAAAATAGTGAATTGGTTTACTAACATCCGCCAAAAGTACTTATTAAGGTGGATATTTTTTATTGTTGTTGTTTAGTATCATAAAACCCAAGGATTCATACATATTTTTTGTGTTTTGCTGCATTGCACTAATTGTCCCTATTGGTATTTGAACTAGCCCATCTTTGGCTGATACTAAGATTAAGGATCAAGATACCTTCTGGCTCTCTTATGTTCATTAGTACTATTTGATAGCTCTCTTGGACTTTTTAAATTTCAAAATGTTCCAAGCTCCTCTTGTATATTTTCTGCCCCAAATATGGGATCAGCTATTTCTTCTGGGTGCCTGGGCTCTTTTTAGTGGGAAATAGTATTTAGTCACCCTCATATGAGTACTAAAGTGCCCAATGCTAATAGGTTGGTCAATTTTTTCTAGGTCTTTTTGATATAGAAAGGCAGAGACTGCCTTTTGAAATTATTATAATTAAGATTACCTTAGTTATTATTAAGATAAAAACATCACTGGTTCATATTGATGCTTCCCACTTAAATTAAGGACAGTGGTGTTTGCACCTACCTCATCTCTACTGCTTTTGATCTGCTTCTCCTCTGAACCATAGCAAAAACCTGCTTTTCCTACAGCACACAGAAAGCAATCCTAGAAGAGCAGTAGCAGCACTACTGCTATTATGATTGCTGACACTTATTTGAGTTATTTTTAGTTTTTTTTCCCATAACCTCAAGAGAAATACAGACAAATAATGTATTATTGGGTTGTTTTGATTAATTTTTTTGAGAGGTTTTTCGCTATAGGGCGCGTGCGCTCGCCAGACAGACAGAGA